CACTTCCGTTTGGATGTTCCGCACCTACAGCCTCAGGGAAGCATTTTTTCGGTAAGGAGGAAACGTCATAGGGTAAAGAAGGGCCCGGAATCGACTGCACACACATAAAAGTTTTGAAAAATTGCTATTTTCGATATTAAAATTAGGTTTTTGTAAAGTTTTCGGCCAACCTCTTTGTTAGGGATCAATTAGCATACGCCGGAAGTGGAAATGGTTTATAAAAAGGAAGGTAGGGCGCCCTTTTCATTTTTGGTGAGCGGTTTTCGGCAAGAATTATGCAAAGTCAATAACTTCATCGATCCTAGACGGGTCCAGGGTTGAAAAGCCGCGAAGCGGTTTTTCAACCCTGGTAAATCTCCTATATTTTCAACAATTATTCAGCTATAAAGGGATGCGTCGCAAACCTTATTTAACTTGTTTTTAAACGATTCGACAAGTACCTCAAGCGTTCTGCATAATTCCGACTGAACGGCTTAGTCATACGGTGTATTTTCCCATCCCAGGTCAGCTCCGCTTTGACGCATCATTCCCCCGCCGATCCGGCATATTGGCCCGGTTTAGCCGAGGATAAAAAAGGATATGGTAGAATTCCGTGTGATGGTTCGGTACTTGCCGTTCCATTATGCAAAACGTTTTGCGGGACTAAAATTTTTAATTTAATAAAAAAATATTTTAATAAAAATTAAATTTTTTTTATACGAATCATTGTTTGATTTAGAATTTTTTATAGCGATTGAGTCGCATTGACCATACGCAACGCACCCGACGCCCTGCCAAGGTCATAATCCATTACGACAGCTAAAAGAGGAATAGTTGAGATCGTATCATTTTATACCGAAAAATTCTGAGGCGAGAAATAGAGTTTTTGTGTTTTGTGTTTTCAGTGTTTTTTCTAAGTTTGTGATAAAAACAATTTTTCAGAGACTGCTGAAAGGTTTTTGGGTCAATTCTGGGTCTGCGCGCAAATTTTGCACCCGCTTTCCAATAGCGTAACAGCTACATCTTTTTACTTTTTTTCTAGGATTATTATCCCTTATTACCATTAGAACTGGACCACCCTGATCTCCGACTAGATTGTAGCCAATCAAAGCACACGATCTTCGTGTTTGCACGGCACTTTCGCCCTCTAAACGGCTCTCGAAACGAATTGTGGTTAGCGCACCGAGAGCAAAGTCCACACTAAAACCCCGCTAGATGCGGCCGATTCTGCGGGCGCACCACAAACAAAAACCCTCCTCCGCAACGCCTTTTTCCGGAGGGTGACCACCGTTAGCAAAACCAGGAGAGCGAACAAAAGATCGCCATTTTGGTCACGGGGTATCCCAGCAAACAGGGCCCTGGTCAGCGCCTAGCACGATGCAGGTTCCTCGGGTCCAAATGTTCATGTTTTCCGAGTTCATGAGGCAAAGAACACGACAACAGCAGGGACATCATCAACAAGCGACGTAGAGTGAAAAGGCTCTAGAAGGGACCGAGAAAAACCCTAAAACATCTATTTTCGACGCTCTCCAAACAAAGTAACAAGTTTTTTTGCCAAAAACTACGATCAATCGTTTCCCGGGCCAAAAAGCAAAAAAATTGCTCCCGGTGAGGCTCGAACTCACGACCTTCAGATTATGAGACTGACGCGCTGCCTACTGCGCTACGGAAGCACCGGGATCGTGGTCTGGGCTTGGGTACTTGAGGGTTAGCGGTCTCGGTACCGCTTGCATCCCCCCCCGTGGTAGGGGCTCTTTTTGGCAGGTGGCGAGCTCGGCGGCAGAAAAGTAGAGAACTATTCGTATTTTAATGGGTTTTATAGTTATAGAGATTTAAAATAATACAGATGATCCAGATAACATAGAGTATGCTAAAATCATCGATAAAAATTACTTATGCCCATGATCTATGCTCATCACCAAATTTTCAATGAGATTTCAGGTTTTTGCCTGTTTTTTCCTAGATGAATAAGAACATTTTTAATAACTTAAACATTCTCCTTTCCTTAGGTTTAACGACCTCAAAATTCCACCCAACTGTCTTAATTATTCAGAACAAGGCCTTGTGCTCTTAAGCGATTTTTTGCTGTAATTCAGATACCTTTCAGCTTCTCCTAGTTTAAAAATGTATACCCCAGACGGAAATTGCTTAGCTACCATTAGGATTTACGTGTTTTGCGCCGGACCATCCTTAGCCTCGGTCTGCTCGCTTTGCTCTAAATTTCGCGAAAACCGGACCATCTAAATGACCATCGCAGACCCGGGCGGAAGGGGGAGGCGATCTTGAAAAATTGGGCGCCGCTTGATCTCCGAGCATTTAGCGCTTTGGGTAGATCGAAAGATCAAACGGCCGGGATTGCATTCTGTACCCCGCGGGAAGTGCCGGGCCGGGTTTAGGGACGAGCGGATTTGCGGTGGATGGGATAGTCGCCAGGGACGAGCAGAAATACGTGAATAAGACTGAAAATCTGGAAATTTAAATAATTTTATTGATTATTGATATTAGGTTTGCATCAATAGATTAACATCAAAATTAGGCTCAGCGGTAGGGGAACATCCAAGAAAATTCTTTATTTCTCGCCGGGTCCGCGCCTCGATGCGGTTTTTACCGGTGAACTTAGTTTTATGTAAATTTAGCTAAATTCTAAGTCTTAACTCAATATGACTGTGCTTGCCCTTATTAATAAACCTCTTTCAGCTCATCCTCATCACCCTTCTAGCGCCCGTCGCTGGCGCTAAATGTCCGAGCGGCTGGGTGGACGGCGGCGACGAGTTTTACTGTATCCATGTAAGCTTATTATATCCAAACTATTTTCAATTTTGTAATATAATTCATTTCATCCCGCACTTAAGGCTACAACCGTATTCTTCCACGACTACGACTCGGCTCTGGAGTATTGCCAAACGTTCCAGAAAGAAGCCCTGCCCCTGCTACTTGGAAACGGGACGAAGCTCGAGGCTTTTGAAAGTTGGACATTTTTAAAGCTATAAATCTCATTTTTCGACGTGAACTTCCCGGCGCTGCGCGGCTTCAATCAAAGTGATGTGGAGCTGTGTAGCGAGGTAAGGGAATCGTTGGTACATTTCTTTCTATTTCGTTCTCGCTCACACTCTATCTCTCTCTCTTGCGCTCTCTCTCTCTCTCTCTCTCTCCCTCGCTCTCCCATCACCAACCTTTTTCAGTTCCCCGAATTCTTCATCCACAACGAAACTCAATACCCCGACGTCACCGAGACGTGCAAGAAGGTGAGCAGCTTTTACTCACACGAGCCCCATCCGTGTTTAGCTCAAGTTCGAGCTCAAAGAAGACGTTGGGTGCAAGAAGCCGACGATTCTGGGCACCGACTGCAAGCCGTCAAAAGAGCCATATTCAGTCGTCTGCCAGTTGCCGCCCGGAGTTGTGGAGATATCCGCGTGGGCTTCGGAATTCCGCTTCTGACCTCGACGTTTTCCAAAGATCCTACTGGAAAGAGATGGGGATCCTGGTGACGCAGCCGATCGTCTGGCTATTTGGGCTGATGAGCATCGCATTTCTCGTCGCCCACCTACAGTACCTGCGCCATTCGAATGGGTTGTATCAGCCCTACTTGGCTGCGGTAAGCAGCGGGATTTTCACGCGCGTGGCGAATGCGTGGCGCTCTAGAATGGTGCTCGGGCGGCAGCTTATCGGGGAGAACCAACTTTTTTCCCAGAAACCAATTCCTTTTTCTCCAGTTTGATGCCGAAACTCTTTAAACTACTTGAAAGCCTCTTTAAACCCAATTTTCAGGTGAAAGTGCTCAGCCACAAGGTCGACCGTGCCGAGATGCCCGCCGCCGACCTGGAGGAGGTCATCGGGCTGGTCGGTTTGGCGCTTAAACTTACATGAAGTCCATCTACAGCTGGGCCTCGACCGAGTGGCGTGGAAGCAGGAGAAGACCGACATGATGATCGAGGCCGACCCGGTGGCGGCGGTGCTGAAGCGCGAGAAGCTGTCCGGTTGGATTGGGCTTTTGAAGGAGATGTTATTTTAGCTCCAAAACTGCTCATCTACGGCTCGCAGCCCAAACCCAAGCAGACGACGTCGACGATGAAGACACCGACAACGACCGCTTCGAAATCTCAGGATCCGGTGTGCTCTGACTCTAGCTTTTTTGACGTCTCCAAGTTCAGCCCGCCCCCGAGAAGAAGGAGAAGAGCAAGTCGAAGAGCAAGAGCAAGAGCAAGGGAAAGGAGCCGGAGAAGAAGGAGGAGGATGAAAAAGTAAAGATCGAAAGCTGAGGGGAACTTATTAATGCATACCTCAGGCTCCCGATGCGACCCAGAAGAGCAAGAGCGTCAGCAAGAGCAAGAGCAAAAGTCAGGGAAAGGAGCCGGAGAAGAAGGAGGAAGAGAAAAAGGTCTGTAATGAGTCGTATTACGGACGAATTTATCTTCTTCAGGAAGAGGAAAAGAAAGATGACGAGAAGAAGGAGGAAGAGAAAAAGACGGAGGAGAAGAAAGATGAGGAAAAGAAGGACGGAAGCGGAGGCAAGAAGGAGGACGAGAAAAAGCAGGAGGAGAAGAAGGATGGCAGCGGCGGGAAGAAGAGTGGAAGTGGACCGAAGAAGGAGGAGGAGAAAAAGGTAAGTAAGCTAATTTGCCACATTTTATGTAAATTTTGACGTTCTAGGAAACGACCGAAAAGAAGGAGGACGAGAAAAAGGACGACGCCAAGACTACGTAGAAAATGCGGCGAATACTCGAGTGTCCAAACGCCTTTAATACCCTCGCCCGTTCGCGTGCTCTTTTTTTTATTTATTTTTGCCCCCTACCAACCCTCCGAAATACCCGTACTCATTGTGATGTATTGATTTTTTCGCTGGAATAAACGGCTTCACCCGCTCAGCTGGAATTGAGATCAGAAAAGGAAGAATGGAAACATTCAAAAATTGTAAGATCATGAAAATTAGCTAAAAAACATCGAAATGCTTCAATTTGAATAATTAAGAAGAAAGAATTGAGACAAAGTTGCGCAGAAAAGGCAAATTAAAGTTCGAATCAGGTATCCTTATGCTCGTAATACGTCGCGTCGAAATATGTGGGCGGTGTCGTCCAATATTGAGGGGCAATCTGGAACATTCAACTAGATTCACGGCTTCTGCTAGCTTGCCCTGTTCTTCATCAAAAGCTCGCAAAAAAAATTTGAACAAAGCCAAAAATCTTTTTCACTTTGCAAGTCTAGTATTCCGAGACTTAAACAACACTTTCACGTTACATCAACGTTAAAAACGAATTTTTAGGTATGGTCAAATTAAGAAATTAGTGAGCCCAGAAACCTACAGCGCCCGCGAAAAAATTCCGATCCGTCGGCTGCAACAGATAGTTAGGCTGTGAGGTCGCGAGTTTTGTCACTAAATATTATCGATAGATCCTATTTCTTGTCCGTATTTTACCATTTGGATATGCATTAAAAGCGGCTAGGGCATCACTGCCGCCACCACTGATCACCGTGTTCTGGCACGCCTGGGCCAACCCGTGAAAGTCAAACTTGTATGCGTAGCGCTTGCCATGGACCTGAAATTTCAGGATTGGTATGAGTAGAAGTGAATAGAGAGAGCGAGAGAGAGAGAGAGAGAGAGAGAGAGAGAGAGAGCGAGGGAGGGAGGAAGGGAGAGAGGGAAACAGAGAAAAATATATACGGAGAAAACCTCGAAATCCATACCTTGGTCATGATATTCTTATCGTAGTAGTACCGCAGGGCCCGACTCAGCTTGTCATAGTTCATATTCGGCTTGCTATAAGGTCTGCAAGTAACTACGAGCTTCAAATCGTTAAAGAAAATCGGCAGATTACAAAAAATCGCCAGCTCAGCCTAGCCAGATGCAAATTTAATTTCATCGATACCTTTTCCGCTCGCCCCACTTCCTCGCGACCTCGTCCGGGTCGACCAGCTTGAACTCGCCGTTCCCGCCCTCCCAGCTGATGCAGTGAGCATGGCCTAAACATTGATTATGACGATGGTAAGTGAGCAGCTTCAAAAAGTCAACTGGCAAAGGCGAGTATTTAATGAAAGTATGCCCTGCCAACTTACAATGCGGTTCGGCTAACAATTCTAGCAAAAATTGCCAAAGCTGGATCTGGCCGCTGCCTAGCGCTTGCGGCGGGAGTCGCGTCAGCAACGATGTATATTGTAGGCCTTCCAAGTCTGGAAGATATTTGCTTCGGTCTATAAGTTGGGGGTATATTTCTTGTACTTTACATCCCAGCTTATCTTGTCCCAAATTTTCAAGCTTCCAGTTTGTTACACAATTCTAGGTTTACGGTTTTTGAGGGGCAGACAATCCAGGGTTTTTGCTTGTTGTGCATTCCGTATCGCACTTACCACGTAACTCGTCATTCTTTTACAAATACGTAATGGACCACGGTACTGTAAAAGAGTACTGTAGCCGCGCATTTTTTTATTCCCTCAAAAAGAGAAAATTTACTCACAGAATCCTAGAAAACTCTCAATCTGGGAGACGTCTTGCATAGCTCTTTTGATTCTATTAGCGTTCCACATTTTTATTCTACGTTTTTGATCAGGTACCACCTCTTACTAATTACTTACTATTCTCTTATCTATTCCCAAAATCAATATCCCCCTCTCGCGGCTCTTTCTTATTTGGTGGTGGAGGTGGTGGTGGGTGAATGAATGCCTCCACACGGGGCCCACTTCCGGTCTAGAGGCCCATGTAGCCACTCTCCGCGGCCATAGGCCGATTAGCCAACCGAAACGAAAATTTGGGTCCCCGGAGGAGGTGTATGATGTAGAGGAAAGAATTCTTGGTACAAAATTGGGGAGTGAAATTGAATCGGGTTACCGTGGATGGAAAATGCAAGCCAAAAAGAAGCAAAAGAAACTCTAAAGATCATCCAAAGAAGATTGACTAAAATTTAAAAAGCTTTCGTTCCAAGAATTTCGATAAAAACTACCGTATTGCGTTTGAAGCGTCGAAGGGTCGGGCTTCGTCTCCAACCAACAGTTGCCCACCGACGGGTAACTGGTTCCTGTAAAGGCTGACTATTTCTACCGCTTCAACGCCTGGGAATCTCGAGAAATATTGTTGTATGGTTTTCAATTAGCGGAAGAACGCGGAAAACTCGTTTTCTCGGCTTCAATTTTCCCACGACCTCTGGTGGTGATTTCGGAGCAAGACGGGTTGAAAAGAGTATCGATGAGTAACCCGATTTCATGAAGGACCAATGAACGATGGCCAAATTTCCGCCTTCTACACCTTATTTTTCGCAACGTTTGAAGGTTTGAAAACCGCAACTGGAACAATTTCTGAGAAGCTTTAAACCGTTTATACCTAAGTCGTTATAGCATGGAATTCGGAACAAAAACTGCTGAACGATAACGATCTCTGATATGTTTTGCAAAGTTTGAATTTTGCTAACGATGTAATCGCATCAAAAAAATTCAGAAATTGGTGACATGGCTACCAAACCCGCCAGTTATGTCGGTAAGGCCAGATCACTATGAGTGTTGCGCGACACGGGATGGAGGCTGGCCAGGCTTGACCCCATTGAATTTGCAAAGAGCCAGGGGTTATTGTAGCTTTCGAGTAGCTCCAAATTCTTAGTAACTAAAAAACACGCCAGCAATGTCGGTAGGGCCCGAGGACCACCACAAGTTATGGCGCGCCACAGGAAGGAAGCTGGATTTCCGGGCCGGGCCCGCGTGGCCACGGGGTCGGCCCGAGAATATGTCTTCCGGTGGCGCATCCGGCGCTGCTATTGTCAGGTGGGAATGGGGCGCTTTTCCGGTAGCCCCCGCAGGGGATAGAGGTCAAGATTTAGCGCGGGAACACATCTCTATACTTACCCAATCCCGATGAAGCTCCGGGGTACATTGAAGCCAAGGCTGTGAGGCTAGGTGGCGGTGGTGGTGGGCCTTCCAGGATGCCGATTCGTAGATTCGTAGGGCCCGGACTGGGGAGTCGATTGGCACCCAGCTGGGCCACCTCTAGACCTCCACCTCCAGGGCCCATTACCGTACCCCCGGGGGCCCCTAGGTTGGCCCCTTTTCGGTTTCCAAGACGACGGGTTGCACTCATTGCGAGTGAAAGCTTCTAAATCCGAATCCACCTCCTCCGCCCCGGGGACAGACAAGTTGAGGTTAACGGCCGACATCATCTACTAGATTTTGCCGGATGCAAATAAGAAGTGCGATCAATGATTACGATGCAAACAAGCGGTCTAGACATATTGTTTCCGGTGGTTGTTCGTACCTCACTACGCTACACTACGGTGTCCATAGAAGCTTTCTGGAAAAATGATGTCATAGTTATTGCCTGAAAACCCCCCAATCCCTTAAAACCGTCTCCAACAACTTGAACATTTTCTTGCGTTCCCCCCTCAATTTAGTTCATCAAATACGGCGTAATGTTAAATATACAGCCAGGCTGCAGGTTCTACAAGTTTTACTCCTTCAGCAGTCGTTTAACACTCCTCCCGAAGAATTTTTGAAAAATTTTTTTTTTGCTACCTACGCTAAATAAGAGCCATTTTTAGCGCCTCAACATGTGCTTCTCGGCGTTGTCCGGCTAAACACAAAATATCGATGTCAATACGAGGGTGATACACGATTCCTAGGCACCTTAAAGGTACACTTAAATCTCGTTCAAATAATTCGGTCGCGGTAGAAAATTTGGGTTCTCTGCCGCAGCCAACGCAGCCCCTTCTTTCGCCTCTCCCCTTCCCCCTTCCCGTCTCCTTGGCCTAGTGGTCCAAGGCGCTGCCCGCAAGCTGGTAGTCAGGGTTCGGTTTTGCTCCGCGGCGGCTCCGTAACTTGTTTGCTATCCCGCGGACGGTTACCGGCCGGTAACCAACCCAACGAGGGTTTAGTGTACCTTTAAAGGGTAAGACTCCAGATATCCCAGCCGGCCCCAACTTTTGCATCTCGGCTCCCTGTTCATCTACAGGTGTGTAAAGCATACCAAAATGTTTGTCATGCTCAGGCAAGTTTTTTTGATATATTTTACAGACCTGTAGATGAACAGGGAGCGGAGATACGGTAGGTGGGGGCGCCTGGGGGGGCATGGAGTTTAGCCCAGGGCCGTAACAAACCCAAATTTCGGGGGGCGACCCCAAAAATTTTTCGCTAATATGACTAAAACTACAGCGCCGCAGGCAAAATTTTTGAAAACATAAGGTTTATAACACTAAAACTAGTGGTAAAATTAGCCAAAAACAGCGTCGCAGGCAAAAAATTTTTTGGAAAAATGAAATCATAAAGGTCCCCCCTTATGAACTTTTCGGCCTTCGGCCGTTTCGGAGGGGCGGCGCGCCCTCGCCCCCTCTTACGGGCCTGGTTTAGCCCCTTAAAGACCTGTAACAATCAAAGTACAAGCAATACTATAAAACTCATACCTTTTATTAATAAGATAATTTCCACTCACCGAATATTTTCTCTAAGCAGATTCCGTTTTTCACCCTATAGCTGAGTTCTCCATTCGATTCCTTCCGAAAGCACCCTTTTTCAACTTTGGTCCCAACTCCGGTTATACAATCCGGAGGTTCCTGGAAATTAGCATCATGCGAAGGTGTGACTTGCCACCGGGTCCCCACAAATAGCTCACAATCGCTCTTCCAAGAGCTGCTGTGGGCTGGCCCCAGGGCGCGTACCGGAAATGGCCTAATGCATCCAGTGGCTCGTGAAAACATCCAACGCGGCATGGCCAGGGGAAAGAGGAGGTTGGAGAATATGGGTAGAACTTGTAATGACGGAGTTTTTCAGGGAGTAAAATATCTGGGAAAACGATAAAATAAGCATAGAAATTCCTTAATTAAATAGCCTTATTGCAAGCTGGAAAAGGACAAGATAGTGGCAAAATTCAGGACCATCGATTTATGATTTATAAAAGAGCAAAGAGTGCAAATATTTTTCAGTTTTTTTGAATATCAAAATTTGTAAAAGCGATAATTTGCTATCCTATTTTTCTAGATAAATACCGAAAAATTCACCAAAAACCGTTTAAATCCAAAAAGCCTGAATTTTCCATTCGCCCATCCCCGAAAAATCACATAAAATCTTCCCTTCATCTCCTCGAAGATGGGTTACGCTATTATGAAGCGCATCGAGGAGCCACCCGCCCTCCGGGGCTCACAAAAACCAGGAAACAGGGTGAAAACGAAAGAGAGAAGAGAAGAGAGAGAGAGAGACTCGCAAAGTGGCCGCGGCGGCGCGCGAAAGAATCCCCTTATCGGCGCGCCGCGCTGCAGCGAAACGGGCATTGTTTTGCCTGTGCTCTCTCTGCTTCTCCCCGAACTCTAGGGCTAAAAATCTTTGTTCCTCCACGGTTTCGTTGAATTTCTCGCCGCCTCCCCCCTGTATTTCGCTAGCGACCACCCCGGGGGCGAGCGGAAAAGAGTCCGGTTGCTCCGGCCGGACTGCATGTATTGATACAAATTCAGCGCGTACGCGTGCTCGCTGCCAGCTCGACTCATTTCCCGGCTTATGGCAGGTTTAGCGCGGGGGCAAGGTCAAATTTTGGAGCGTAAACCTGCTGCCGGCTTAACTGCCTTACTCACACCCTTGTTACTCTGTGAATATGGTCAAAAATCGTCTTGAAATATACCTATGAATATTTCCATGACAACCAGCTTTCCTCGTTTTACCCTCGTCAAATCTGTAACAGCAGCCTGAATTTCCTTGAAGCCTTCAGAATTTTTTCCGTATCGAAGCAGGTTGCCGTGCAACCCTTCTAGCTTCCGGAAAGGCTTCTTCGCCTCCACAAATTGGACAGGCTGCAGGGATTTTGAGGCTTTCCTATATGGCTAATTTTGCTAAAATGTATTTCGCGATATTTTTCGTTGATAAAAGTAAACCTGAACCATGATTCTATTTTCCAAAAAAGCTCGGTGTTTTTACTTTATTTGTTTCTCTATTTATTATCGTTGTTCCAAGACTTTTGCCAGTTATAAACAACCTACACTAGAGAAATAAACGTTCCGGGCTATATTCTTTTTCGCCGGTCCGTCTTCTAATCTTTCTTATCAGAAGCACAGCCCTGCGAAAGGCCGTGACAAATCAAAAACCTTGTCAAATTATGGATCAAACTGTACTCGGTCCTGCAAAAAAAAAGAGCATTTTGACCTTGACCTCAAGCATGGCTAGACTAGGCTAGCCTTGTGCTCGCGCTGGTAACACCTCTAAACTTGACAGCTAAGCTCTGGCTCTTTTTCTGTTTTATTCGTCCTTTTTATAAGTTTTTAACTTTTCTAATATTTTTTTTTCTTTGTAGAAATTTGTACCATATCATTTTTATTAGCGATAATAAGTGACAATTATTAAATAAAAACAACTGCAATACTCTCTTTTTCAGAATGGAGGTCATAACCAGCATTTTCAACTATTTCTGGGCGTTACCGGCTATGGTTAAGATTCTCATCGTCAGCTTGATAGTTATGGATGTTGCGGTAAGTCTAGTTTAGTTTAATAAACTCTGTAAAAAACTATTGTCCTTCTAACGGTGTAGATTATGATTATCCACCGAAATTTAGACGCAAACACTTGGAGTTTGGAACTAACAACTAATTTTAGTTCTCAACCCTCTACGGAATTACTGGCAAATACAAGAAACTGTACAAGCTGGTGTTCCCCAAGCAGAAGAAGCAGTACAAGAAGTCCGGCGGCAAGAACTCTTATAAAGCCGGAAAGGCCAACTAGCAGCGATGCGGTGACGGGTGAAATAACAAAAAACATATTGAAAATTGCTCAAATAAATATATACTTAATGCCGGTAGTTTTGATGGCTCGAAATCGCATCGAAAATCGTCTAAAAATCTCTTTAGCGCCACTCGAATAACTCATCATAATTTTTATCGCATAAAAACGGGAAGCAATAAGACACAACGCCAGCCTTGCGCACTAGAAAAGCAGAATTCACAAATTCAAGGGTACATAGGGTTTAAAGGGCGTCTGGCAGCAATCCCCTTTTTTCACGACTCGTGGAAGCGTCGCGGTCGGGTGCGTCACGGCAGGGAGAGAAAGAGCGCGCCCAGAGGAGAGACGTAGGCAGAACTCTGCGTCTCTGCCCGGTCCCCAAAATGCCGTAATCGGTGTGCTGCCAGAGCCGCTTTAAAGGAACAAAGTGTAGGCACAAATCTAGCAAAAAAAAAACGGCTTACAAGCCTTCTAAACCGAGCGCTTGAGTGGTGAAGTGGGGGATCCAAAACTTGGCAAGCTCCTTGAAGTCCTTGTCGGTTTCGCAGCGTCCGTATTCGTTGATGCGAGCCGACAGGAAGACGATTTGTAGGCGCAGTTTCTCCATCTGAAAAGTAATGTATGACAACGAAAAAAAGCAAGCGGAAACGCCCTATTAGATGTCAGATGAGGTATGTTTCTGATTTAGCAGTCCGACTAGCGTTGTAGGTTTCGAACCGGGTAGTAAAATCAGATAAATAAAGCCAACGGTATGCGAAGCGAAAAATTCATGAAAAAACTACGCAAAATCAAACGAAAGTCCTAGACGGCTTTGCCAATTTTTTCAGCTAAAGCTTGCTATTCAAAACCTTCGATAAACCCCGAATTTATAGATGAACATAACTGTCGTTAAATCAAAAACTCGCTTGCGAATCGTTTGTTGAGAAGAGCCTACTTTCCAAAATTCGCGATAAACGCGCTTACATAGCTGTTTTTAAACGGTAAAAAGCAAGAAAGTCAAATCAAAATACTAACCTCGCGATGCTGGAAATTGTAGAGCCGTTGGAGATGATCAATCTGCGGCTGCAGCACTTCAGGTCGAAGATTCGCAACGTTCTGCTGCAAGTCCAGTTTCGCCGTGTGGTAGTAGTCGAGGCGCTGGCGCCGGGTGTTGGACAGCCTCTCGAGGTGGCCCCTGTACTCCTGATCAAAAAAAAAGAAAATTCGTGAAAAACACGTGATTCATATTACACAGAGATTGTTTACGCGAAAAACAAAGAAAAACGATACGAATGATGAATCTAGGCGCAGAAAAACAACAAGAACTATAAAACAAACCTCCCAATACAGCTAGATCCGTGTCATCTTGGCCGTCAGACGGTACGGATTCTCAGCATCGCTCCCATCGCTGCTGATTGGCAGCGGGATGTCGCCCTTCTAAAAAAGGAGATGTTGCAAAAATCTAGATTGATAAACGCTAATACAACTAAACAGACGCTAAATAACCAACGTGAAGTTTTCTGCTGTGTTATTATAGTTTGAAAGGTTTTCAGTAATGTTTTATTGCACACAGCAAGATCGCATTCAGAAATACGTATCAATTATTTTGTAGCACTATAACTATAGTTATTTTCAGAAGTATTAGTAGTAGCAGCAGCAGTTGTAGTAGCGTTTGATAGTGTAGTTGCAGGGCTTCATTCCATAGCTTTCGTACTACCGGTGTTCTCAGTATTGACCCAGAACTCGGTTCAGCGACATTCGGAGTTCGGCTTGCTGAAAATCCAATTTTTAACCCAAGTCGAGATATTTTATGTAATATTCAATATCATTAATTTTATTGAAACCTACCACTCTTAGCCTTGCTTCTTGCTCCGTTTCCCGCTGCTGCTCCTCGTTTGCCGCTTGCAGCACATTTTCGCGCAGCTCGTCCAGGATGTTGTTGATGCGCAGTGTCAGATGCTCCTGGAAATTATTTTTGTAAAGTTTAATCTGCTTTTTCTCAAGTTCTCGTGCCTAAAAACCAAGCATTCAAACGAAAAACGCTCATTTCCGTGTTTCAAGGCTTCTGGTTCGTTAACGGGGGGTAATGCCGCAGATTTTTCAATATTGAATTATTTTTTTGGGGGGACAGGCGACTCGGTAGAGCATCAAAAATATACTAAGAAATTTACTTCTAGATCGACATACAATAATTTAAGAAAGTTGTAGGCAAAAAAATAACGAACCAGAACCTTTCAAAAATTTTTAAGCCTACCCTAAGTATCTCGCTGCGCTCGTTGAGCCGCGCAATTTCGTGCGGCTCGTCGAACCACGCGTCAAAGTTGAACCCGTCCGTCTCGACGTTGTTGTTCCGGTCAATGGTCTCATTTTCGAATGGTAGAACGTCCGGGTCGTGCTCGTAGTCGTAAAGCGGGGCCGGTTGGGGCATGATAAGCTCCAGACCGAGGTCCTCCGGCAACACGGCCACTCCGCCTAGGTCGAGCTCATGCTCGGCCTCCTCGGTACCGGCTGGCCAAACCGGGAATTCGATGCCCTAAAAAATGTATAAGATTAATTTGGTTTTTATAATGGTTGATTTGGATTTTTTAAAAGCATTTTTTCTTCGAGCCAGATATGCCCAGTGGGAAAAAAAAAAATCACATTTTCAATTGATTATTAGTATAATGTAAATATCCTTCGAGTGGGTAATGTATATAAAAAACCTTTAAGCGTTGTAAAATCCGAAATTTTTGTCGAAAACTAGATGTTTTGGCGGAAAATTCTATATTTATCGTATTTTCTAGTCGAGTCTTACCGAAAAAGTATGAGAAACGGGTAAAGGTAGAGAAAACCGTGGAAGCACGATCATTTTCCCAATAGCAAGCAGGTCCTAGCAAAATTAAACTATTAGCATACCTCATCGTCCATGGCCCAGATGTAGTCCATTGATCTGCAGATGATGACGAATTAGCCGGCGGAGGGAATGATTCACGGCCGTTTCGAAAACCTATAAACAACAACCCATCTGCCGTGCCGCCCCCGATTTTGAATATGATAAGCATCGAGCACTAATGGAAATGATAGATACGTTTCTCTCAGTTGCATTAATGTCTGGTGTAATACATATCAGAATCCCTAAAATCAGAATCTTGGATTTTCAGAATCTCGAATTTTGAGGATCTCGAATTTTGAGGATCTCGAAATATGCCTATGCTGGATTCAGGGCGTAGGCGTGCAATTTGCGGATTCTTTAATGCTGATTTAAACTATGGAAATGTCGAGATTCTGAAAATTTGAGGTTTTGAAATTTCAAGATTCTGAACATTCGAAATTTTGAAAATTCTAGATTCTGATTTTCGAGATTTTGACAGATTCCCCATCTGGTGGTATATATACCGGAGTAAAGAACAAAAACTAAGCACACTAAATAAACCGAAATGATCATAACGTTGTGTTGTGGGCGCTGGCCTTTACCGTCGTAATGTGTCTTTCCGCGAGACTACCATGTACACTTGGACCCTGTAGTCTCCCGACCCTTTCCAGCCCCACCAGAGTTTAGGCCCGTTTGGTCATTCTGATTTATCCGGCTTTTCCTGCCACCCGCTTGGCTGCTGATCTACTCTCCCGCGATTGTTCTTCATTCCAAGGATTGTGATCAAGATAGACGTTGTTGGCGACTACATTGGGATAAAGGTTTATTACGATATTCCGTGTCGATTAGATATCCGATTGTCGACACGAAGTGTGTGTTCCTTGTGAAAGCTAGGATCACAACAACTGGCGAGCAAAGGATTCGAACTCAAGCAACGGATGAGCCACCCGTCATCCGAAGACGAGGAGCAAGTAACCCCCAAGGCCAACAAGAAGCGCCCGCAAGCCTCAGCGTCCACCAACCCTTCACCATCCAGTGCGCCGCCCGAAGATAAGAAGGCGAAGATCACCATGGAGACTGCAGACGTCACGAAGTTGATGTCCGACATGATGGACAAGCAGAAAGAGCAACTGGAGCTCATGCTGGTTCGTGTCGCAGAGATGATGTCCGGCAAGACAACCGCCATCAAGCAAGAAGGGGACGCTGGTGCGGAGCAAATGCAAGTTGATCATCCACGCGTTGATGGAGAATCCGCGTTGAAACTCCATATGCGTACGCTGAAGGACTCGATTCTATTGCGGCTACCCAAGTTCACTTTCAACGAGGAAAGTGGTGCCACTTTTGAAGCATGGTATGCGCGCTACAAGGACGTGATCCTGAAGGACGGTGACGTATTGGAGAAGGAGGATCAACGGCGAATCGTTCTGGAGAAGCTCGACGAGGACGCGTACGAGCGCTTCATGAAGTTCATCTTGCCCAAGAAGGCCGAAGAGCTGGACTATGCTGAGACGATTGGCAAACTTACGGAGCTGTTTTCGCCCGTAAAATCGCTTATTTCTCGCAGATTTGCTTTCTCTAAACTCCGTTTTCCAGGCGGCGACATGGATGACTTGGTCAAGCACATCGACGCGATCAAGTTCCAGTACGAGCGTGCGGAGATGAGAGGGATCTCGGAGGCCGCTCAGAAGTCGCTCAGCCTGCTGCTCTCGTTGAAGGGGCCGGAAAACGAGACGTTGCGCGCGCAGATCATGAAGCATGTCGAGGAGAAGCCCGATGCTTCTCTTGATGAAGTCTACAAGTCGGTGAAGCACTACATGACGCGCAAGGAGGATGCCAAGCTCGAGAAGGAGGAGCGTGAGACGTTCGCTGTAAGAAGGGAGTCGCGTGACAAGGACCGAACCGTGCCCAAGTCTGATGTGAAGCGAGATGTGCAATGTTACAATTGTGGTGGACCTCACTTCAAGCGCGAGTGCCCGGAACTTGCATCAAAGCCTAAGGAGAAGCGTGCTGATACTCGCAGGGATTACCGAAAGCGAGACAGAAGGAGGGTGGATCACAAGAAGCCTTCCGCGCATGCTCACTCTACAATGGTTGCGTCGACTCAAACGCAAGGTCTCAAAGGTGAACGCTTGTTTCACAACGTGGAAATTGATGGCAAGAAGCTGCGAATGCGCGTCGATACCGGCGCAGATGTGACGATGGTCAAGCATTCGGATTGGAAGCAGCTGGGATCGCCTCGCCTGTCTCGTGCGAAGCTTCGCATGACAGCGGCGAACGGAAGTGCCATGCATATCTACGGGATGTTCAAGTGCCAGTACGCGCTCAATGGAAAGGCGTACTTTGGCGAATGCAACGTGGTCGATGGAGTGACTCTTTTGGGCATGGACTGGCTCAAGCCGACGGATGCCTACAAGAAGTTTCGTGACGCGTTGGACGTGACGGTGTGCGCGGTCAACGAGGATGCGGAGATGCGTTTCAAGCAGGAGCTTGAACGCGAATATCCTGCTGCGACCAAGGAAGGACTCGGACTGTGTACCAAGATGGAGGTGCGGCTACAGTTGAAGTCGGATGCGACACCGAAGTTCTGCAAGGCCCGGCCGGTACCGTTTGGAGCAACCACGGAGGTCGCGGCCGAGATTGAGCGCCTCGTTGCTGCCGATGTGCTGCGCCCTGTGGATTTCTCAAACTGGGCAGCACCGATCGTGGCTATCAAGAAGAAGAACGGCACCATGCGCATGTGTGCTGACTTCTCAACGGGACTCAACGCAGCGTTGGAGGACAATCACCATCCGTTGCCCACCGCCGATGAGATTTTCGCACAACTGAATGGCGGAACGATTTTTACGCAGATCGATCTCTCGGAGGCCTATTTACAATTGGCCGTGGACAAGGATTCGCAAGAGCTGTTGACGATCAACACACATCGCGGATTGTTCCAGTTTCAACGTTTGCCGTTCGGAGTTAAGACGGCACCAGCGATATTCCAGAAGGTCATGAACTCGTTGATCAACGGACTGGACGGAACAGCAGCTTACCTGGATGACATCATTGTCATGGGTACCTCGAAGCGAGAACACGACGAGCGTGTGAAGAAGGTGTTCGCCCGCCTACACGACTTCGGGATGAATGTACGATTGGAGAAGTGCACGTTTGGCCGGAGCCAAATCAAGTTCCTTGGATTCATCATTGATGCGGATGGAAGGAGACCGGATCCGATCAAGATCGCCGCAATCAAGGACATGCCTGCACCAACGACTCTATCGGAATTACGTTCATTCCTTGGCGCTGTGCAATTCTACGGATCTTTTGTTTCCAAGTTGTCTTTGCTACGTAAACCTCTCGATGATTTATGTATCATAAAAAATTCTGAGAAAAGAACAACTCAGCATTCCGAGAAAAAGAAAAAGCTGGAATGGAAAAAAGATCATGAATTGGCTTTTGCCAAAATAAAAGAAGTCTTGATGAGCGATCTGCTGCTGTGTCACTACGATCCTGCGCAAGAGATCGTCGTCGCTGCGGATGCGAGCGAATACGGGATTGGATGCGTGATCAGCCATCGGAAGGAAGGATGTGAGAAGGCCATCCAACATTGCTCGAGAAAATTGACGGAGACGGAGCGAAGGTACTCGCAAATTGAGAAAGAAGCTCTCGCCCTCGTCTACGCTGTCAAGAAGTTCCATCGCTACATTTTGGGAAGGAAGTTCCTGCTCAAAACGGACCACAAGCCGTTGCTTGCCGTTTTTGGAAGCTCGAAAGGAATCCCGATCTACTCAGCAAATCGTCTTCAAAGATGGGCGAGTACATTGCTGAACTACGATTTCAAGATCGAATATGTACGCACGGACAAGTTTGGACAAGCAGATGTACTCTCACGGCTGATCGCGAGCCGCCCGAACGCCCCGGAGGACCGAATGATTGCACATATCGATGCGGAGGACGTTGATGTGGCTGCACTGGAATGCCCGCTACCGACACAGTTTCAACGGATGAAACGGATGACTGCAAAAGATGGGACGTTGCTGAAAGTCATGGATTGTGTGCGGAAAGATGCCTGGCCAGCGGCCGGGGAGGACGAGCTGATGTCGAAGTTCTACAACCGACGCTCGGAACTGGAAGTGCGTGATGAACTATTGATGTGGCGCCACCGAGTAGTTGTCCCGAAACTACTGCAGCCCGAGACGCTGAAAATGCTACATCAAGGTCACCAAGGTGCGGAAAGGATGAAGACCTTGGCGAGATCCTTCGTCTACTGGCCAAACATTGACGCGGATCTCGAGAAAGTGACGAAAAGTTGTGATGTGTGCGCTCAATTCGCCAAATCACCGCTCAAGAACACTCTGCACTCATGGCCGTTGTCACATGCGCCATGGTCAAGGATTCACCTCGATTTTGCGGGACCCATCGAAGGACAGATGCTGTTGATCATCGTCGACGCGTATTCGAAATGGGTCGAGGCCGTGCCCATGAAGACGGCAGATGCGCAAAAGACGGTCGAGGTCATGGACGCTTTGTTTGCTCGATACGGATTGCCCGAAGTGATCGTCTCGGACAATGGTCGACAATTCGCGAACAAGTTCTTCGATGAATGGTGCACGAAAAATGGAATTCGTCACATGTTCTCACCGCCGTACCACCCACAAAGCAATGGACAAGCTGAACGCTACGTCGATGTATGCAAACGTGCGGTACTGAAGGCTCAAGCTGAAGGAACGCCGATGGTAAAAGCTCTGGAATGCTTTTTACAAGCTCATCGTTCGACACCCGGCGCCGTTATGCCGAATGGAAAGTCTCCCGCTGAACTTTTCCTGGGTCGAAAGCTGCGTGTTCCGCTGACGCTCTTCCAACCGCGAGCCACTTCAATGGAGAAGGTGGATGAAGGACGAAAACGCACGGATCTCAAGCAAGAGGCGCAATTCAATCGCCACTGGAACGCGAAAGACCGAATGTTTTCTGTCAAGGATCTGGTCTACGTCAAGGACTATCGCGGTGCCAAGACGACGTGGATTCGAGGGATGATTGTTGCAAAAATGGCGCGCACAATCTACAAGGTCAAGTTGGATGATGGCCTAACATGGACACGTCACGCGAATCAGCTCCGTAAACGAGCCCCGGATGCGCGCGACACGAGTGACAAGGCCAAGGAAGCTGCTCGAACCGACAAGTCGTCTACACGAGAGCAAATGGCGTCGTCAAGTGCTCCAAAGAAGGATGTGGCGTCACGGGCGATGCCGACGCGTACCCGTCGGGCACCCCGAAAATGGTCTCCCACGTGAACAAGAAGGAATAAGCTGAATTGTCTTTATCTTTCTCGTTCATATTGTTTTGGTGTCACAAAATTCATTTTTTGTTTGACCCGTTGTTGTTTGTTGTAAAGTGCACACAACAACCCTTTTCTTTTAAGGGGGGAGGTGTTGTGGGCGCTGGCCTTTACCGTCGTAATGTGTCTTCCCGCGAGACTACCATGTACACTTGGACCCTGTAGTCTCCCGACCCTTTCCAGCCCCACCAGAGTTTAGGCCCGTTTGGTCATTCTGATTTATCCGGCATTTCCTGCCACCCGCTTGGCTGCTGATCTACTATCCCTCGATTGTTCTTCATTCCAAGGATTGTGATCAAGATAGACGTTGTTGGCGACTACATTGGGATAAAGGTTTATTACGATATTCCGTGTCGATTAGATATCCGATTGTCGACACGAAGTGTGTGTTCCTTGTGAAAGCTAGGATCACAACACGTTGGAACTGAGAACCGCTGTGCTGAAAGTGCAATTACAGTGCAAAAGAGATCGGCCGTTCGATATGTGATGGCCAGACTTGCCGGAAATTCAAAATAGGACATGGACAACCATGGCGAAAAGCTACGTACAATCCATGCTTCGGAACCCGATTATGTGGCTGCCGAGTGGTTTCATAAGCGTGTTGATTCGTTAGATTAACAGCTTCGTATCAGGCCCGAAAGTTTGAAGGATCCTATCTTGATGATTTACCTATTTATCGCAAGCTCTCCAGTAGCTATCTTCGCTCCGATCACCAAAGTTCATATTGTTTTCGTGCTTTTCCGAATTTTTTATGCAAACTCTATGCGCGTTTTTTTTTTCGCAAGACGTCATGTCACCGCATCATCGCGCGACCCGACCGATGTTTTCGCAGATGGTTTTTAGAAAGCTATTTATCGGCCGGACGCCATAAAGGCAACAAAAATGGAAGCTTTCAGGCTTTTGGAAAAAACCCGGTCACGGCAGGACGCAGGTCACCTAATATAGTCGCGTTCACCCATAAATTGCGTAAACTGAATTGCGTGGAGCCTTCGATTGCTCCCCAAAGAAAATCGGAAAACGAGTAGTCCTTGCGCCTGTTTAGTTTAGTTCGATTTGACTGCATGGCTAGTGAAGCTCCTATTCGCACGACCTATCCAATTTTAAGGTTGAGGAACCAGCGTTGTAATGTCTACTTGATACACTGCTCGTCGATATGAAGCGAAAATACTTTATTGACTAGTTTAGGACTCCAGGATTCGACAAGTACTCGATGATTATTTTAGTTCTCAACATCAATATAGTCATCCTCTCCATAATCGTCTTCCATGTCGGTTTCATCTTGGTCACCGTCGGCTTGTAGGGGTTGTTGCTGAGCCAGCCCCAAAGTTTCTTCCCAGTTCTGGACGAGTCGAGCCACCTGAAATATATTTCATTTTTCGGTTACGGTTACTAGGTCGTAATTTCCGCATTTCCAAACATGCATTTCATAATTTTTTTTACATAACCTACCAATAGAGCAATGGCTTGGTTCAGGATCGCCACTTGGGGATCTTGCACAAGGCCGTTCTGCTCAATTCCATTAGGTTGCATCATGACATTGGCACGAGCAATTTCCAGGGGCCTCTGCAAAATTCATCAGTTTTATATTTAATTACCAGATGGTTACAGTCGCTTCGCGACTGCAACCATCTGGCCTTCGGGCTACCCTGCATGTCCCACTCCACCACATCCTTTCCCACCTCCATCAATACCCCCGATAGCCGAAATCCGGTTCAAAAACTACCTAAATACCTTCCTGATGGCTTCAGATACCCCCCATGGCTGAAATCCCCTTCAAAAACTACCTAAATACCTTCCCGATGCTTGAAGATACCTCCCCTAGCCGAAATCCTTTTAAAAAACGAAAATAACGACCGACCGGATGGAATTAGAGAAAAAAGAAATGAAATCCCCCGGTGAAAATTTTCATCCACGAAACGCGCGCGACCTGGCTCACTATGTCCAAAATCACCCCAACCTCCGTCCCCCACCCCTTTTACTAAGGGAAAAACTTTCAAAGTTAATTTTAATAATTTAAATCAAAACTTTTTTATAATTTTTTAATCAGTATGGGGGTTTCTGACCACGCTCTATCCGAATCCGAAGAGACCTAAGCTCTAGCTCCTTCCCCCTTCGAGTTGAATTCGGCTTCAGACGGACGGACAGACACCCCTACCTTTTTTATTATAGTTGATTTTTCTTTTAAATTAATTTTTGGTGTTAGTTTTCATTTTTCTTACGTATTTTTCTCAATTTATTTGATAAAAAGCCGGAATGTCCGGCCATATATTTTAAGCATTTTTAGCATATTAGTAGTGGCTAAATGCTTTAATCTATGGCTAAAAAACTAGTTGATAAAAGCAAGCCGTGTAATTTAATAAAATTACCTGATAGATGGGGACGAACGGCAGGGGGCAGGCGTTGAACAGCTCGGCGTCCTCGGCGGGGTGCGGAATGAAGCACATTTTCAGGTAGTGGTAGTGGTGGGGGAAATGAGTGTTCGGTGATTTCCAGGGAAATGATACCATTTTGATAAGATCTCTTTAGCACATCTGTTGGCATTGGATGCAGCTGCGTAAGTCTCACTGCAGGAGCACTAAGGAATTTTGAACTTTAGGACGCACCAATGAATTCATCTAAAAAGGCTTGCTAATCCGGATTCTTACAACGTGGACAGTAATATCAGGTTGGAAAGAAAGTAATGGCACAAAATCTTTGAACCGCTGTAAAAACCCGTAGGAACGTCCGATTTGAAAGTTTGATATATGGTTTGGTAGATCTTCGGATGCTCTATTACGAGACAATCATGAAAGGACCCTAAAACTGACGTACACTAAAATACAGGCCTCAGAAGTTTCGCAGAAAGTTAGGTGAAAGCTTCCAAGCGAGATATCTCTGCATACAGGCATTTGCATACGATATCGTTGACACGAATCGATGGCCCTCGAGGAGTAGATATCGCTAGATGTTGAGATCATCAAAATCGGACACTGGAAGGCCGAGATATGGGCCCTAGAAATTTGGTCCAATTCTTAGAACTTTTCTCGAAATGCCATGCATTTAGGCCTGCGCGAGCCAAAAACTGCAGCGTTTGCTTGAGCTCCCGAACCAAAATCCAGAAAATGTATTGGTTTTGGAGGGCCGATATCTTGGCTATCTGATGTCCAATTTCGATGATATCAACATCTATCGATATCTACTCCTCGAAAGCTATCGATTGGTATCAACGATATCGCATGCAAGTGCTTGTATGCAGAGTTATCTGACTTCGAAGCTTTTACCGAATTTTCTCTGAAACTTCTGAGACCTGTATTTTAGCGTACGTCAGTTTTAGGGTCCTTTCATGGTTGTCTCGTAATAGAGCATCCGAAGATCTACCAAACCATATATCAAACTTTCAAATCGGACGTTCCTACGGGTTTTTACAGCGGTTCAAAGATTTTGTGCCATTACTTTCTTTCCAACCTGATAATAATGGGATTTATTTAACCCGGCACGATTTTAAATCAATCGACTTAAATAAACGTTTTTATCAAAAGCGGATGTAAAGACTTTTAGCGATTTAAAGGATGTTAAATCGATGCAAAAAAAATGGCTGGACACTATGTTTGTTACAGTAATTTCTAAAATCACTCCACACTTTTACAAACGATTGAAGCACAGCGAACCGGTACTGTCTATTTGAAATTGAAATTTTACCCTTGAATTGGGCTCGAAGCCCGCTATTCCATTGTATGATCGTTTAGACGCTGTTCTTTGGATGTGATAGTATTTGTAGATACCGTACATTTTTTTGACCATGATGCCTCACAGCTGAGTGTCGTACGCGGCAATGTTCGATTTTCGGTGCGTGCGTTTTCATATTAACGGTTGCAAAAATAGTTTATAACACAGAACAGTTAATGCTCAACATCAATGTAGTCATCATCGCCATAATTATCTTCCATATCAGTTTCATCTTCTTGTTCTGGTCGCGGTTGTTGCGGAGCTACCCCCAACATTTCTTCCCAGTTCACGCCGTCCCGGTCGAGTTGAGCAACCTGGACGGCAATGACCAATTTTATATTAAATTATCACTAACGAATTTCTATATGTTATATTTCTAAGCTTGACATCGCAGCTTACCAATTCAACAATGGCTTGGTTCAGGATCGCAATTTGGCGGTCCTGCTCGAGGGCGTTCCGGTTAATTTCGTCAATGTCCCTCAAGAGTTCGGCTTCGTCAATTTCTTGGGGTCTCTGAAATAAATATACACCGTTTAACTAGGTGGTTTTAGTTATATACCATCACATATCTAATGGTTAAATTAGCAGAATTAAAAAGGGCGCCGAAGTTACAATTGCACTACGGTCGTCGATAACGAATTTCGAAGTACTTGAAAGGGCGATAAATCGTTTCAAAGATACCAAGTAAATCGGAACAAACGGCATCGGGCTGGCATCGAGCAACTCGGCGTCTTCGTCGTGACGGCGGACAAAGCACATTTTCGAATTTTGCGAGTCAAATGAATGAAATGACTGGTTGGTTTTCCCGGGGAAATGGATGATCTTGATAAGGCTTGTTCTGTACATCGGGTCGGTATCCGGTGCATCTGTTAAATCCCATTAATAGTGCAGTAAAAGGCGAGCCAAAACTGGTGACGCACCAATCAATACGTTCAAATTCTGTTTATCTAACGATTTTGTATAATAATGCAAGAGAGATCAATAGTAAAACGTACCAGTCATGGCTATGGCCTTTCCTGAAAATGTATTCCCTAGGCTTTTTTGATCCCAGCGACACGCGACGCGTCCGCCGTTCAATGTAAAGGGGTCGTTACGGGGTATTACGCGATGGTTTTTGGCCGTTCTCCGTGCGCAAAATTAATATAATTGTATTCCATACTAAACAGGATCGGTTGTCTTCCCCATCCCTTTAAAAATACATTATTTTTCGGTGCGACAAATGCTGTATTCTTCGAGATTTTCAACTTGCCCAAGCGCTAAAGCCTGCCCTTCCGCCCCTAAAGTCCACATTTTACCCAAATAAACTTTCAGCAAATTTACGACTCCCAGCGAATCGCCGCAGTTTCTTTGGCGCCGGAAACAAGTAACTCTATTTGTGGGGGTCTTTGCGATGGGTTTAGGCTTGTTGCCCCGAGTCCCCAGGGGGAATATTGGGCACCCCCAGGCCCATTTGTCGGCTCTCCACCGACACCTCTGACGAGTTTATAGACATGCACGGCTTCGGAGGGGGAGGCCACGGGCGGGTTTCTAGCCCTCGGACGTAACGAGTCACGAACGCGTCACACCACTTTACACCGCGTAATTGATCTCACAAACCCAGTTATTTGCGACAAATAATCTTGTAAAGGTTATTCTAACGCTAGAAACAAAAGAAATATAGTTGTAAAACAGATTTGGACGTGAAAGGGGCATAACTCTGCCTGTTTCGAGCAGATTGACAGTTTCGCTGGTTCTTGCACAGCAGTACGAATAAGAAAGCCTGTTCTAACACGAAGAAGCTTCTTCTATAGGCACCAACACGCCGTTCTCCATTTTCGCGAGCAATTATCGTTTGCAAACATTGTGCACACAATGTTCGCAATTCAAGAATCTTTTCTGAATTACCCAAATCACACATTATAACTGAGAGCCGTAGGCTAAGATGGCCCGAACTTGAAGGAGCAATGGTAGCGGTAAAAAGCAAAACCAAACAAGCGCTTTACAATGCCCATATCATCACCAGCCTTTCACGCATGCTCGAACGTTACATCATTAGGTTTCATCCTCAATGTCTAAATTATCTCGACGAAGCTCGGCTGGTTTTTTAGAGGTTCAATCAGCAAAGTGCCTGGCCTTGCGTAACACTTATTTATAACGGCAGTGATAAAGTGAACTCGTGATTGAATAGGGATTCTTACTAGTTAGTCGTGTGTGATGAACCAGCAAAACTGTCAATCTTCTCGAAACAGGCAGAGTTATGCCCCTTTCACGTCCAAATCTGTTTTACAACTATATCTCTTTTGTTTCTAGCGTTAGAATAACCGTTACAAGATTATTTGTCGCAAATAACTGGGTTTGTGAAATCAATTACGCGGTGTAAAGTGGTGTGACGCGTTCGTGACTCGTCACGTCCGAGGGCTAGAAACCCGCCCGTGGGGAGGCCCCGGAAGCTGGCGGGCAGTCAAATTTCATATTTTTTTTGCAATGGGTGGACTTTTTTTTGACATAATCCCAAGCTTTTCCGGCCGTTACGGTATCCTTAGCCAAATCTTGGTTCAGTTGCATTATCGGGTGTGGGGGAGAGTTGCGGGCAAAACTCAACTTTTTAGCTTCCAATTTTTCCATATAAATAAAATGAGTTTTCTACGCTTTTTTTTCTTATTATTAAACGCAAAAATTTTACAAATTTATGAGCTATGAAAACATAACTGTTTTCACCAAAACTACGCCTTCTCATATTTTTAGTGTTTTATTGACCCTTTTTTTTTGTTTAAATAAAAACACCAATAAATTGCTTATATTACGTTACTAGGCTCTTCTGATTGAAATGTACAGGGTGTCTCAAAAAAAAACGACCCATCTGGCATTTCGCCGTGTTACATCCAATCGGTCACATATTTGGACCAGCGTTGTATCAGATCCTAAATAACACCAATCCTGACTTAGAGCCCCGTAGCTATAGTAGTTTTCGAGTTATAGCAAAAACAAACTTTATTTTCTATTTTTCATAGGGTTTTCGTGGAATTAGACCCCCCTAAATATTAAGTGAAAATGATTCCGTGGGCCTTCTTTACCTTAAGAAATTTTTCCGGGCTAAATTTAATCAAATAAGCGTCGATTTACGCGATTTTTACAACACAAAATTACCCAAGTTCTTAAGCGAAATTAGGGAATCACAGCCGGAAGTCGATGCAAATCGATGCTAAGGCCAAAGACTGTTTAGAATTGCGCAAAAAACAGTAATTTGGTTATAACTTGACCACTACTGTAGCTGGCGGGCTATAAGTCAGGATTGTTGTTATTGTTATGCACCTCTCGTTCAATTTTGAGACCGATTGGACGTAACACGGCGAAATGCCAGATGGGTCGTTTTTTTTGGGACACCCTGTACATGAATGAGTCCCCCCCCCCCCGATAACTCAAAAGCACCACTTCATCAATCATGAGACCTCATCGACATTTGAAGAAGGGTTCAAAGCTATAGGCATTTGCTGCTATCGAAAATCCGGATAATTAAAGGGGCTGCATCCTAGTTAATTCTATTGGCAGTTTTCTCGAGGCCAAATATTCGTCCAAAAACCGATTCCCGGCCATATTTCACCTCCACCCAATGCTTAGCAGCCAGTAGACACGGTGAGTGTACGGCCGAGCCTAGATGTTAGTGTTAGATAAAGCCCAATGCAACCCCCCAGCCCGCCTCAAGGTTCCACCTCCGCGTGATTAATGGCCGCCGGGAACTCGTGTTTTTGGTGGATTTATTGCTGAAAAACGATCGCTAACAAGCGGGAGGCAATTTTCCGATTTTTATGTTTCTGCTAAAAAGCTTCATGTAAACTCCTTGGCCGTCTTTGTTTTGCTGCCCCCGAGGGGCGTTCAAAAATTGCGCCAACACCCATATTTCAGGGCAGAAAGCGACGGGTAATTGGTATCAGTTTTCAACCAGCAATAAACGCACCTCGGCTAGGCCTCATTGGTCACGTTATCACCTCTGCGCAAAGCGGATTCCAGGAGGGAGGGGTGGGATATCTGGTGGGGGAGTGGGCCAGGTGGGGGCGAGTGGGGCGCCCAAAGACTTATGCACTGGCTTGATGCTAATAGGACTCCAATAAATAAATGAACATATACAAAATTAGAACCATTTCTTCTAAAAAATAATCAAGCTCTTCTGAAAGATCTGAGCAGTTTTTAAATCCAAGTCCGTACCTCCTAGACAGCTTTACCTCAACCACCATCACTAATTTACAATCCCAATCCCCGCCCAGCTGCCCGCTCTTCTGGCGCATCCGACATCTATTCCAGAGGCCATAAAATATACCTGCCCCAGGAACAGGGCGTAAAATACGCACAAAGGCTAGCCCGGTAGCCCCCAGCCTACCGTCCCTTGCGCAACAAGTGTCCCTTGGGTCGTTAGCCCCAATTTTTGGCCAATCGCGACAGTTGGCGTTGACCTAGAGCGGCGTTGGCGTAATCTTACTGTTCTCGACTTTCACGAGTGTCCTGTATGACTTGTCGTTGCTTCATTTTTTAGGTAGATTTGTGAGATTATTTTTCTTCTTTCTTTTTTAGTTTTTTTTTCTATTTGTCTAAATTTAGTTCTTTGCTTAATGATAGAGACGTTGTTTGCAGGAATCCAATCAATTTTGAATACAATCTATGCTGATTCGGACGCTGAAATCAATAAAAAACCCCGGTTCGAGCTCATACCTGATTTTATGATCTTTTTGGGTGGATCAAAACTATTTTCTAACTTGTTTTCCGTAGTAGCCGTATTTGTACCCATCGATCATTATTTCCCGGAACTCATTTGAAATTCAGATACATACGCGATACAGAAAAACAGCTTTTTTTCGACGTGTTTTTACTCAAATTCATCATTTCGATGAACTCTTGGATCCAGAAACCTCAAAAATTTCCTCCTTACTATCTTAAAGATTGCATCTCATTAATCCCCACTTTACTCGCTCTCATGCCCCCAGGACACCTTCCTCCTTGAATATGCCTAAATATTCAGGGTGCGAGTGCCGGAGGCAAGGGATTTCCTGGGGCCCACCCTGGCCTATCCCGTCCGATCGAGGGTGTGTGATCGTAAGCCGATTAGTGTCACCTCCAAGCACCACGCACCTGTAGCGCCATCAGGAGGAGGGCCGTGGCCCCAAATAGGTCCCAGATGGCGCGAGGATGTGCGGTGCTGACTCGGTTATCATTTTTGGTCCGATAAGTCGCTCGCCTAGCAATTTCTTAAAATCTCCACTCGACTGCCCTCTGCTGCGGGTTTTTGAAGGAGCTTTGTATATTATTTTGGCTAGGTATGGACGACCCGGCGAGGCACCTAAACTCCCGGGAGACGCATTAAAATTTTTGTTTTGGTGGCAAGGCCATACGCATAGTTTAAAAGAGGTGTATTTTATAGTCTTACGCGTAGCTTCCTCCCCCTCTCTCGCTCGCTCTCCCGTTCTTTCTCCTCACTCACCCACTCTCTCTCTCACTCTCTCTCTCTCTCGCTCTCCCTTTCTTTCTCCTCACTCTCTCTCGCTCTCTCTCTCGCTCTCCCGCTTTCTCTCTCTCACTCTCTTTCTTCCTCTCGCTCTCTCGTGCTCGTTGATGCACGAAAAACATGCATCATTTTTTATCTCTCAACCTTTCCACATAAGATGCCATTCCCTCGATCACCTCTACGATCTCCCTCCTCCCCCACCCCGGGGGCCAATATATGAGTGAGTAAGCCATTCCTCACCCTCCGATCGCCGCTGGTGCTTCTGCTGCACACTTCCCCGCCCTGT